AATTCTATCGCAATTCGCGTATTTACTTTATTCGCGCTCGTTCTCGCATCGTTTGAGCGAATTTACGGTACGCTCGACACTGTCGCTATGCTCGGCCAAGTCGCATAGAGTAGCACCCTTCACCCTACGCTCACCCCTGTACCAGAACTCCGGCTATATACGTATAGAGTACCATAGTGCGCTTCCATCCCCCCGCGCGCTACCGAAATCCCAGCGTGAATGCATTACGCATCAACGAATCCGGAGTAGCAATATCCTGAGTTGCTGGATGTTAAGAGAGAGAGAGAAAGAGGGCTCCGGATTATAATACATTACCAATTCGACGAAGACCACAGCCATTTGACCTTGTTTCAGACTTTATTTCGCGTGCTAGCGTCTCTTATTGGCTTTTAATACAAACTCGTTCAGCTCCGCGCACACACGATAGCAATTTAAAACGGCATCGCAGCGGAGAAATTGTATGCTTTTAATGCCGGCACTATCGTTTTAGCCGCAATCGAAAAAGATAATATTTTATTTATTTCGATTAATTTTGCTATTATGCGAATATTCATGATTCCGGCATCGATTATAATATTGCGAAACATTATTGATAATTTTTCAATGCCTTCGCTCTTTTTCATCCTGTCTTGTCCATTTTTTTAATTAATGAATAAAGTGTATCTATTTTTAAGTGCGATCGATGATAAAAAGCCGAAATGCCGAGAAAGATTAGTTACCGAGAGACCGGCCATCGTATTCCGCTACTCTTTTTTTTTTTCCCCCGACTCAATGATATGCGACTGTCATTTACACACTTCTGCCATTTCGTTGCGCAAATATGCTCTATTGTCGAAATAGCGAAATGGCACTTCTGCCAGACGCGTTTGTCCAGCGCCGACGAGGAATATACTTTCACGAGTATGTCTTGTTGAATTCTGTTATTCTTATGATAAGAGCTATTCTTCCGATATACCGTTTTTTTTTTGTTTCTTTTTTTTTCAAGTACAGTTTGCGCTTTGATGAAGTGGAGTGTATAATTAATAATAATTGTAAAATATTTGGCTAATATATTAATTTAATAAATGTGCAATATGTTTAATATTGATTGTTATGTTGCAGCTTTTTATCAATTTTTAACAATTTAGGATTGTATATGTTACAATTCACTCTTTTGCAAACTTTTTTTCCGCCGCGCACTACGAAGTACTTGTGCTTTCAGTTATACACATATTGCAAATTACATTTTGATTGATTTACAACATTAATTTTCAAGTGTTACACCCGGATGGCTCACGCGCGTCCACGAAAAATTGGTTGCGACGATTTTCAGCTAGATTCACTGTTATTCGCTTGAATTAACAGAAAAATTGTTTCCGTTTATTTTTATTTTGTCTCGTTTGTCAAAGTCACGTATTTTTATCACCCATGCATCGCGTGTAGCGCTGTTACTCTAGATACGTGTACCACTTTGCAGCGAGTATCTCCGAAAATATTTTTCATAATTTCGCAAGAGAGAGAGAGAGAGAGAGAGAGAGAGAGAGAGAGAGAGAGAGAGAGAGAAAGAGCGAAAGATTCGTACTTTCCAAATTGCGGATAAGGATACTGTTCTCGTCTATCGAAAAATGATCTGCTACATTACAGACGAGAGAAATGTACTTGATCATTAGATGAATTGTTTAGAAGACGAGTTGCGCGCAACACCGTAAACCGGATGGAAGCGCGCCGTATTTCCGTGCTCTCGTAATCCGGGCACGACACACAAATTATGAGCCATCCATCCGATTACCCTCCTCCGAGGGCCCCGAACCTTTTCCCGCCCGTAAGTGCACTCGCGCGGTGCAGCGCGCAAATCGCATGAGCCACCGCCGGGTCGTCCGGCGCGCGCGCGCGCGCGCGCGGTAGGGGTGCGAGTTGGAAGCGTAAAGATATGCACCCTCGCGAGCTCGCTATGAAATAATCATATGGTTAGCTAATGGCGGCCTCCGGGGTAGCTGCAGTCAGTCGCTCGTCTCCCTGCCGCAGCGTACGCACGCCGGAGAGGGCGGGGCGAGGGGATAATAAATAAATTCGATATATTTGCCTCGAACCCCCCCGCAAACATTCAATGATAGATCGCAATCTCGGGCCGGTGGGCGATGCACCCTCCGAGGCGGACGTGCGTGAAGATCGGAACACGGGATCTTCCTGGTTTGGCGCGAATCGCTTCGATACCCTCGTCGCGTCCGGCGGACGCGTCGGTGAATGACAGATCGAGAAATATTCTTAGATAGTTCAGCTTGCTAATTGAATCGCTAATTAAAACTTAGTGACGTCTTATTTTTGAAAATTTTAATTATATATCGTGGTAATATTTAGAATAATCGGCAAGCGATTATTTATTTGTGCAACTGATCAACGTGAATCAATTATAATTATACGACTTGAATTATATATATTGGGTATACAATTTGCATAATTATATTATTTATGCATGAATTGTTATTCTACTTGCGTCGATACACTGTTTCCAAGATTTCAACATTTATTTTAATTAATTTTGGATAAATTTCTTCGCTTCTCGCGTCACCACGGAGCGGCACAGAATCACGTAGCATTATTAAAGTCAATAGCGCATATTTTAACAAAGTTCTGAGACATCTAATATTAAAATTTGGCAAGGCGATAAGTGACAATCTCCCTTCAACATTTTCGCTGAGCAAGGACCATCACCAAATTGCCCGGTCTGTGGTTATAGAACTGACTCCGAGGGTACCCTATCAGCTAAATCGACTAGCGCACGACCTCAATTACATGATTATGAAAGTATGATTCAATGTTTCGGGTCGCGATTGAATAGAATCACTCGGATCGGAAGGACTTATCCCTACTGTAGTGTCCGGGTTAAAGGATTAAGCGATCGAACGCGTAGTGACTTTCACGCGGGTGCAAATCCCGCGTGGAGCGAAGCGGAAGCGGGATGAAGAAAGGAGGGCAGGGAGAGGGGTGGCTACTCGCCCATCCAAAATTATTGCATTCGAAGACGCGACGGTCCCCTTCGTCCCAACTGTCGCTCGTGTTGTTGTAGGTTGAGGACGGGGGGGGGGATTCGTTGTGTAATCTCGCGCACGTCGTAGCTACGCGTTAAGCGATTCTAATCCGCACGGCGCGATCATTTCGCTGCATTTTATTAGCGAATTTGTACGACCCCAGCGTTACCGAAAGCGCGTGCTCGGCATTATCGTTGTGCCCGTTCGCGTTCGCTCACTGTATTTCTTGTTTCGAGCGCATCGGCTTAGAGATTTTGCAGTGTTTGCCCGTTGCGCTTATCAAGCAAAAATACAACACGAAAATCGCGCTTTGATATAGATGCGAATCAAGAAATGGAATTTTGTTTTTTATATCGCAATATTTCTGAAAATTTACAATTTAGAATCTTGTTATTTTTTTAACTTATTTTCAAAGCGGAAGCGCAATACGTATAATTTCATTAGCAAACTTATTCGATCCCGACATTATCGGAAATGTAAACTCGGCATTGTCATTGTGATAGTCTGATTATATTTTTCGTTTCAATGGATACAGCGGCTTAAATATTTCAAAGTGTTGCTCGTCGCGTTTAGAAAAATATTGAAGATAGAAGTCGCGCTTCTACAGCGATGTAAAAAATGGAGTTTCGTGTTTAATTTTAACAATCATTTTTTTAACAGTGAATTTAAAATTTATATTATTGAGAATACAGCATACACACTCTGCAGCTCTTTTTGCGCCGAGTTTGTAATCAGGTCCGATACGATAGCGTGGCCGGTGCAGCGGGATTGGCTCGCAGTTAGTTATGATTAGACGCGACAGTTGGCCTTGCACGGGCGCGGTACCGAAGGGCCGGCCGCACTTGCTCTGTGTATTATATATTCCAATACTCATTGACGCGGGTCCCCGCGCGTCTGTGTGCGTTTCTGCCGAGAAGGGTCGGAAGGGGGCGGCGATAATACGCGCTGACAGGCACGCACCCCCTCGGGCTTGCGCGCCCGCGAAAGGGGATGCTGCCTACGAGA